TGAAAGAAAACAAAGTGGCAAGAAGATATATATATATATATATATATATATTAAGTTGATTCTGCTGGTATAAGGAAACAGTTGTAAACACACACACACACAAAACACATCAGTTCCAGCATTGCTAACTTGAGGGTGGAACGGTACACAGATGTCACGGTTCGGTGCGTACCTCGGTTCGGGGGTCACGGTTCGATACGATTTCGGTACAACCATCAGTTCCAGCATTGCTAACTTGACAGCGCAGTTGGTACTTTATCAAAATAAAATACAGTGAACCAAACATCAGCGCGCGTGCCTCTGTGTCACCGTTGAAACACGACTGAAGTACAAAGCCTATAATTTACAAAATAAATAATAGTTTAGCATTCAGATACGTTACATCGCAAATATGGAAATATTATGGAATATTTGGATTTGTGCCGAATGAGAGAGGTAGGATACACGAGCACAAAGCTCCATTTCGCAAACAGTTGAGTGCACAAGCCAGCCAAGTATACTCCTTTGTCAGTCTGTGAGAGACGCATTCAGAATCAGCACATGGTCACTGTCTAGTAGGGCTTTGTTTTCAAGTGCGCAACTCATGGCATTCGCTGTTCTTCTGCTGGTGGCCGGTTATCAAACAGCATTGCATTGTTGCGGGTGCCCCCATATGGATTGGGGGGTGAATTGCCTGTATTCGTTGTAAGGCCTCATGCACCGAACCGAGATGTCCGTCCCTTGACGGTTCGGTACAAATACATGTATCGTTCCACCCCTAATATATAGATATAGAGAGAGAGTGAACTATACATTTAATCGGTTTGTGCTTCATACTGTCCGATGAATCATTTTTAACAAATTGATCTTGATGAAGCTAATTTTGGTAGATCAACACAATGGATTTGATTAGTCTGATTGTTTGCAGCCCTATGCAGTCACTTGCGCTATAATCGATTGTTTTCCAGAGCTGAAGGGTTTGTGTGTGGTCTACAGTCTTTCTTCTGGAGCTCTGGAAGTGGGATCAGAGGAGGCCGTTGGGATGTGTGCGTTTCCTGGACTCAATGAGACAAGTTAATTGATGGGAACGCACAGCTGACAGCATCTGAATCCAATGAATGCCAGCGAGGGAACATGGATATTAATTCCTTTGTGTAAATGGCCAAAACATAGCTATTACCAAGCTCAATACAATACGTTTTCTTTTAAACTAAAGATTTCTTTCAGCCCAATTCTGTGTTCAGACTGCAAGACAAAAGGTCAATGAACATTAGCATTTGCTGCGTTTCCTGACATATTTTGGCAAAACTCAGCAAGGATGACTATTATTCTTTTGGTATTGTTTCAATTGGTGTGGGAAGTCATGTCGACGGCGTTCCCTCCTCTTACAAAAACGCCTTGATACTGCTAACCTTCTTATCCAAATGTTTGCACTCACTTGCACCTCGGTTCATGACAGGATAAGGCCCTTCCTGTGCCGCTCGGTCTGAACAGGAAGTCTGCTCATACGAGTGTCAACACTTCATAGGAAGAATCTTGTAAGCGCCAAGTTCATTGGCTACATTGTGAAGCCGGGCCAACAATTGAAATGGGACAGCTTTTATATTTCAAGACAATACAAATCCACACTTGCTATTCCCACTTGAAAAGCCCATATGCCAAAAGTAACACATCCAGCATTTGAGAAGAAATGTGAATGAAGGCAAGAACAAACACAAGAAAGCAGGGAGCGGAGAAGCACGTCAGCGTGTTTGCACTAAGCTTTTTATTTTATAGAATAAACACGGCTGATTCTCTTTACGCTCTCGTTCTGCTGCGAGACAGATCCCTGATATATTGACAGCCTGGGCTACCTGCTGTATTTTTAGACCAATCACAAAAGCATCAGTCAGGTTCAAAGGTGCAACCATCCAAGACATCCTCCCACTCTAGAGTCTGTTCCACTAGGAGAGAATGGGGAAAAGTCTTTGAAGCGCACCGAAATTCATATGAAGCAGAAAGCAATAACTCAAAGTACCACAGCAGGTCCAGAAAGAAGTGAAACTCCATGAAGACTATTAAATGTACACAAACTAGGAAAAAATTAGTAGTAAATCACGTTATAATAAATTATAACACTATAAATTACAAAACAATACAACTGTTTTATGAACAGTTCTATCTATCTATCTATCTATCTATCTATCATCTTTATTTATTTATTTATTAATACATCTGCATGACATACTACTCATCATTGCAGTTCATGACTCTTCAGCTGGTGCTGAATCATTTCACAGTACTAGACTGTAACAAATGTAACAATCATTTCACAGTACTAGACTGTAACAATTATGATATTTATCATAACAACAGGCCAGGTGTATTATCACTGTACTATTTTATTTATTTTGTTTTGTTTATTGCATTTTTTTAAATTATTTTTTGTAAGCATGTCAAAGGCCTCACATTTTACTGTCTGCATCAAATTAAATTGACTAAAGTGATACGATATACATAAAAAGGATATTAAATTCAAGTAAAGTGTCTACCTTAATGTTTCAAATAACTTTTGTAAAAATAAAATGTCAAAATAATGTTTCATCGTCATTCAACATAACAGACATATTTAACTTGCTGATAAATGGGTAAATCCTAGTTGTTTGAAGGACAGCAGTAAAAATTGGCAAAAAAACTAAAATGACAATTTATTAGTATCCATAAATTAAATTATTAAATTATTATAAATTATTAGTGATCCTTAAAGGTGCAATAGGTGATTGTCTTCAGAAACATTTTTTGTTATGCTGGTTGAAAGTCTCTTCACATCTCGATAGCAATCATTAAGTGAAGTGGTCTAAATGTATTTATCTGTATTTATATATTCTGTGGAAGGTGTAGGATCAAGAAATGTTCGTCCAATCAAAATGCTCGGTCCGAGCGTTTTAA